TTGAATTTTGCTTCTTTAATCTAAGTAAGCAGTCTGATAGTTATTTAAAAGAGAGTAGGAACTGGAAACAAGATTAGTAACTGGTGATCCACAATTGTTCATCCTTGTTTATTCGTTCGTTTTGCTGGACATTTACATAAATGCACACAACCAAAGATGTCATATTTTTTTCATATAAAACTTTGGATTCCTTAACATTTGCTTCCAACAGAGCTCGATTTTGCAGAGCTGTGATGGAGCTTCAGATTGCAGGACTTATTCGCATGCCTTCAAAAAGACGTCCAGATTTCGTTCAAAGAGTGGCCTTTGGTTCCTAAGAATAGGTTCAATACTTTTCAATGTACGTTTACTTTAATCTATTATGTGTCCATAAACCTGTTTCCATGAATCTGTTTAGACCCATCCGTCTATAGAAATTAAAATTGACATAATAATAAAATTGTTTCTCTGAAAACTATGTCATGGTAAACAGAATTTTGTAACATTTTCCACTAAACGTTAATATTGTAGGACATATTTTGAGACTATACAACACGTTAATCCCATTTTTCTTTTTCCACAGATGAATTGTCAAAACCGTGGGACAAGCGAAGATCTGTGTGTGAATAGTCAGTCATATACTAAAGTCTTCTCCCTAAACTCCTTTTACTGTACAAGAGACGACCTGTGACTTAGGAAGTCTTTATAATTTCCCCCAATGTTCAAGTTTTGTTTATTGCAACAATTCCCACTTGCTATTCTGCTAAAAACCTCTCTTTTGTTATTTTCTATTGAAAACCCATAAAATCACGCACACAAAAAATGTCCATGATAACTCTGGTCGCAACTTGTCTCTGGTTCTTGATGGTGTCTAACTTCACGGGTGCAAATCAGAAAAACATAGATTGCTTGATCGCCATAAAATCACAAGTTGAAGATCCAAATAATTATTTATCGAGTTGGGCATTTATCAACCAGACCGAAGGGTCTATCTGCAAGTTCTGTGGTGTCACTTGCTGGCATGATGATGAGAATAGGGTTTTGAGCATTAAGCTCTCTGGTTTTGGTCTCAGAGGAAAGTTTCCTCATGGGATTAGGGAATGTACAGATCTGACAGGTCTAGATCTTTCTAGAAACAACTTCTCTGGACCTTTACCATCAAACATACTCTACTTGATTCCAATTATTACAACTCTGGACCTCTCCTACAATCAATTCTCCGGTAAAATCCCTCCCTCTTTATCAAACATAACCTTTTTGAACACACTTATGCTTCAGCATAACCAGTTCACGGGTCCGCTTCCTCCCCAGCTTGTTCAACTCAGACGGCTCAACAAGTTCTCAGTAGCAGACAATCGTCTCACAGGTCCTGTTCCAAATTTCAATGTCTTGTATTTTGGAGTGGAGACTTATGCTAATAACCCGGATTTGTGTGGTCCGCCTCTGGACGATTGCCCTGACCCGGAAGAAGGAATGATGCGGTCAGCGAAGATCGGTGCTGCGGTTGGGGCGTCTATATTTGCACCAGTAGCTGCGTTCTTAGACTGGTTCTTCTTCAAGGATAAGAAGAAGGAGAAACGCCGGAGATAAAGACACCGAAGCTGGATTTTCCACATTGGGGATTGAACACACATGTTTTCATCAATGTATTAATTACTAAAACAAGGATAACTACTAAAACAATTGACAAAAG